TGCTTCATGATTTCCGACATCCCATTGGCTAAGCAAGGCCTTTGGCTGACTGCACACTCAGGGTGGAGGGTCCTGCAAAGTTACATGGCAATGGGGGGATACAGGAGTGAAGAATCTACCAGAAATCGTGAAATCAATTGGTGAGGGTGAACTCAGACAAGGGAAGTTATTTCTAGGATACTAAAAGTGGGTGTCTCAGAGCTCCATGGCCTGGTGTCCCCACCCCTACTGTGGGGACAGACATGCCACACAAGGCTGGAGGCCCTATGGCTTGCACTCTGGTCAGTGCCTGCGATACGTGGCCCAATCCTCACTTCTCTTCCATTCAGCTATCCCTTCTTCAGAGGTGCTCGGGGCCTGGGCTCTGTCTCATCCACCTCTGTGTCTCCTGGTCTGGACCCGGGCCTACCACACAGTGCTGGTGCAGACAACTTCTGCTTGGGAATCAATGAGATAAAGAGCGAAAGAATGAACAGCAGATTCCTCAAGGACAGAAGAGATACGTTCTTCTCTGATCTCCAGCATCTAGTGAAGACCATTACAGTGCCTCTATCAAATTAGATTTCTGAGCATCACTTTTCCTGTTTGGACCAAGCCAACTGCCTATGTCTACTTGTGCTGGAAACACAATATCTAGTACATCTACTAAAACCTTCTCACCTCTGCGTGACCATGCTGAGGGGGTGGGAGCCAAGAGAAACAGAGAGGCGAGGGTCCTGCTCACAAGGGGCCTGGCCTCAGAGCCTCTGGCCTCAGGAGTAACCAGCACTGGCTTGTCAGCAAAAGGGTTGGAGCCAGTGGGTATGATGGAAGTTGGGCAACTCCTCTCGGGACCCACCTGGCCTTCCTGACCAGCTACATCCAGCTCTCGGGGCCAGCCTCTGACTTGGAGGGAAAGGACAGACACTGAGAGGAAGACCCAGACAGCTTCCAGCCTCATCTCTGCTGCTCAGGGTCAGGAAAAAACCCTTAAGGCAGGGCAGCGTTTGAGCCCTGCCCTCCAGCTCCCCTCCAAATACAAAGCAAGTCTCTCTGAACACCAGACCATCACGTGGAGCTAGGCTGCACTCGTCCTGCTTAGAGGGCTCAGGTGGCTAAGGCTGGAGCTGCTGAGGCTGATGCCCTCTGTCAGAGTTAGGGTCTTGGTGGTCTTACAGGGAACCAAGAGAGGGTCTCTGCAAAGTACTCCGCACAGCAGTCCTCCATGGACCACGAAAACATCCAGAAGAGTCAGTAGCGGAAGAGGAATGAGATGGCTTTCACGTTTCGAGGCAGTGCAGCATATGGTACCTAAGTGCAAAGGCCCTGGAGGCCCATGGCCTGGCTTGAACCCAATTCTGGTTCCACCACTTCCCATCTGTGACTTTGAGCAAGGAGCGTCATCTCACCAAGCCCCACTTTCCTCATCTGTAAAAGGGGAAGGATAATTGTACCTATCTCGTATTACTGTTGTGAGGATTGAATGAGATAATCCATGTAAAGCTCTTAGCAGTGTTGGGCACACGACAGGCAAACAATCCTGTTAGCTATGACTACCATCGAGTGTTCGTTCCTAGGGGGCCGGGCACTCCGCTAGTAACTAAACTTCATTTAGTACTCCCACCCACACATGCGGTGAGGTTCTTTTTCTTCCCTTTCTACAGATGAGACGCAGAAGTGTGGAGATTAATAATGCGCCCAAGGTCACCCAGCTGACCAATGGTAGAGCCAGGACTCTAACTTAGGTCTGATTCCTGAGCAGCTGCCCTTAACTGCTCTGCCCTACTTCCCCTCAACAGGTGTCCAGGGACATCACCAAACGTGAACATTTCACTAAATAAAAACTAAATAAACTGAAATCCACGGGGAAACAAAATGCACATCGTAATGTCATAGTTTGCTTTTTAAAACTACATGCTGGGGGCTGGCCCCGTGGCTTGGCGGTTGAGTACGCGCGTTCCGCTGCTGGCGGCCCGGGTTCGGATCCCGGGCGCGCACCGAGGCACCACTTCTCTGGCCATGCTGAGGCCGAGTCCCACATGCAGTGACTGGGAGGATGTGCAGCTATGACATACAACTATCTACTGGGGCTTTGGGGGGAAAAAATAAATAAATAAAACTACATGCTGGGATGTGTAGTTACGTAAAATATGTTCACACTGCCCTTTATAGAGAACGTTCTCCTCCTGGGCAGGAATATCTGGATTCAGGCAAGACCTGGGACCCAGCAAAAGACTTGAACTCTTCTTTTGTGGTTATAGGTTATGAGGAGGTGGATTTCTTCCCTACACATCTTCTTGGAAGCCCGATGTTATTGGATCGCTTCACCTTTTCTACCATCCGTTCTCAGATGTCTGACTACTAACAAACATTTGTTTCTTGAAGCCAAAAGGGCACTGCTTGCCTTAGGCCACCTGCTCCTCCGTGCCATGTTACCTGACTGGGGCAGATTCTAACACCGGGCCTCATTCCCAGAGGGTTCACTGGGAAATGGAGGTGTCTGTCACAAGGTGGCTTAACTAGAAGCTGATCAGGATCATCAACTTGACAGCCGCAGGATGGCAAGCCCACCATCCTCAGGTACAATAGGCTGTGTTAATAAAAGGGGCTGTCAGCTCAAAGCCTCCCAGACCTGCTTGCCATTTAAGGCTGCTCGAGCTTCCTTATCATGGACTCTTCCTCTCTCTGTCCAGCCACAACAGCAGATGGACTAACAGATAAATGCAAGACTCTCAACCCTCCCAGAGGAATCCCTTTCCCTGGTGATGTTTCAAAATATGAACCAGGCTTCTGCCGGTGCTGCCCTGGCTGGAGCTGGAGAGACAGACCAGATGACCTCCAGATAATGCCCAAAGCCAGGAAGAGCAGCCTTGACAATGACCCCCAACAGATGCACTCTGTCTAAGGCACAGAGCTGGGGCAGAAGTTGTCTGGTCTCTGGATTTTGAAGACTTAAAACGATTAAGAGAGGAAATGATGGGAAGAGAACAGCCTTTGCTGACCCAGTTTGACATGTCATGCGGGAGCCTGGGCACTAAGGCTCAGGAGACCACTTCAGATGGGTCAGAGCAGGGCCAGATGCTCATCCACCCAGCGCAGGCTCTGAATGAGGTCAGTGAGCAGAGAGGGGTCCAACTGAGCAATGAGTTAGCTTCTGTTCATCACAGATCCCTGGGGGGCTGCTGGCTCTTGCCCTATGTTTATTAATTTTTTAAAAATGCTCTGTGGCCAGCCTAGTTTTACTTAATGCCTAATAAAGGGAAAAACTGTTTACATAGCACCCCTGAGTCTGACACTGAGCAGCTGAAGTTAGCAAGATCCTTCACTTTCAGAGAGATGACATAAGCCAGCAGCCTGCGAAGAAAACAATTCCTTTAGAAGCAAGCCAGTCCCAGGTGAAAGGGGTAGCAGTTGAACATTATGTTAAATAAGACAAAATCGGAGTAAGGAGAGATCAAACCCCAGGGGAATAAAGCCCGCAGTGCATACTTGGCTGCTGGAGTTGGTTGCATAAGCGTCCAGGATAGATGGGTAAGTCACTGCCCCATGCATGTGCACTTCTTACAGTCCAGATAAATCTCTCTATATAAACTCTCTGCCTACTTGACATTCTCCCCACAGCACATGAGACGAGGCCCCAGAGAATGGCCAGAGTCTGCGGTAAGCTCCCAGGGTGACGTCTTCTCATCTGCCCTGCCTCTTTCTGCCTCCCAATCCCCACTCCCATTCCTCGCTTAGGTGAGAGCCCTACAGATTTTTCCATCAAAGGGTCTGTTTTCCACGGGGTCTGTTTTCTCTCCAGCCTTCACTGGCTGGTAAGACACCCCGTGGTTCTTCAACAGGCTCGGCTTTCCTGTCTGCCGATGAGACTGCCCTGCACGTAACTCTGGTGAGCTCGCTGACACGCAAGGCAATTTGTGTCAGGAGACAGGTTTTAAGTCTCAGGCTGAAGACATGACTGAACGCTGACACCTCTATCTACTGAGAGCTTACTGTGTCTTGCGGACCATGTAAGAACTCTGCACGCTTTAATGTCTTCTCAACTAGTTAAGATAGGGAGCGTCATCACCCCCACTTTATAGATGAGGAAACCGAGGCTCAGGCTCATTCATTTATCCAGCAAGTAAGCCGTGGAGCCAAGATCTGAACTTGTAACCAGCCCCTGCACTGCTTCCTCATTTACGAGCTAGCTTGGGTGACCGAGTGCTTACTTTGGGAAGCAGCTGGAAGCTTCCTGCCTGCTACTTGACACATAGGTCATGTCTCGGAACCGTCAAGTTTTCGCTGTACTTTTCAAAGCGTAGATTTCTACTAAGTTTCCACTAGCATGGTAGCGTGTTCTGGTAGAAAGTTCACGAACTAAATGAGATTCTGGCTTTTTGACTGAACAGCTACCCGACCTTAGACAAATTACTCTCTCTGAGCCCACTTTCTCATCTACAAAGTAGGTATAACACCACCTGTCCGTAGGAGTGCTGTAAGCTTTAATGAGATCATGTAAGTAAAGGCTGTTCTCTTCTCTTCTCTCCTTAGCCAGGGACATTGAGGGACAGGCAGGACCATGAGGAGGCCCTGTGGGAACCCCATAGCTCAACCACGCTGGAAACATGTACTTCCACCCTGCATGCAGCTCTTAGGATCGCCAACATCTGCCTATCAATTCTGCCTTCCTCAGGTCCACACCTTCAGATGGTCCTGGCCCAGTCTGGGTGATGACCGTTCTGACTGGATTACAGCTCCAAGGGAAAAACCCCCCAGTGAGACCACCTCTAGCAAGGCAGAAGTCTTCTGGCCCTAGAGCTAAACACTTTCAACTAATTCATTTTGATATACTATTTCTTATGTGTTATTATTTGGTCAACTAAAATAATTAGAAAGACTGTAGAAATAAAGAAAAAGTTTGGTATAGCGCTACATGGAGATAAAACCTATGACTGTGATCTTGTAAAACTTTATAAACATAGGACTATGAATTATATGAGAATAGACAAAATTAAACTAGTTGTGTGAGGGTTGGGGAATTGTGACTTTCCTTTTTTAGATATTCTTTAATATTCCATTACCGTTCAGCTTACAGAGTGAACATTTCAGAGAATATCTGATGGGGATGTTGACTCCTAAGCAGCATGCCCACACCATTCCTCCTTGCCGCCCTCATTCTGCCTGCTGCGCCTTTGAAGGATTCAGCTCAAGGGGCTTTGATCAGCTTCCCTTGGCAGAAAACCATATCAGGTTGGAAAGGGGGAATTTCACTTGAACAAAGCTCTGGGCCGCTCAGGGTAGCTTTCCATACAGCACCCGCAGCCGGCTGCCTCTTTTCACTGAGCACGCTCCTGGTTGAAGCAATGAGCCAGCACAATAGCTTCCCCCACAGTGCCCTCCTGTGGCCAAGGCTGGCAACACTGACATCCTGCTTTTGAGAACTGCACAAGAAAGCATTAGAACGAGACACACTGAACATTTACACGTCCTGGGAGAGAGGTGGGTCCATTCTTTGAGGCAGGACGAACGGTCCAGGTGGGCTGAGTGTCTAAGGACATGCAGGAAAGCAAGGCCATATCCATCGTAAGCAGTGAGGGTCCGCAGACTGAGGCCAGGCAGGCAGGGGCGCACAGCTCAGTGTGGCTTTTCAAAGAGGTATTCGAGATCGGGGGCACGCAGTCTCTGCTCTTTGTTTTTGTTTTTTGCAAAGTCCCTCAGCAGTGCCATGACTTCATTCTCAAATATTTCTGGTGCTGGTTTTGCTTCTGAAAGAGAAGAATAGGCAAAAATAATTATGTATGTTGGCCAGTCAATACTCAGGATCTTGAAACTTAAAACTGTGGTCTTCACTAAGAGCCACAGTAGATACACAGACCGTCTTGATTCTTCCTCTAAATATACAGGGTAGTCTATACCAGGAGTTGGCAACCTACGGCAGCCTGTATTTGTAAACACTTTTACTGGAACAGCTGCTCCCATTTGTTTACATATTGTCCGTGGCGGCTTTTGTGCTACGATGGCAGAGTTAAGTAGTTGCAAGCGAGACCATGTGGCCGCAAGCCTCACATATTGACTCTCTGGGCTTTGATGAACAAGTTCGCTGACCCTTGGCCTGTCCAGTCTTGACTGTACTATTTTGCTCTGCATTTGGTATTTCAGTTTTCTGGGTATTGTGTTTCCCCGTCCAGTCTATAAATTTCCTGAGGCAAAAGTCCTTGGTTGTAAGTGACAGAACCTAGTAACTCTGGTAAACTTAAGCAAAAAGGAATTTATTGGAAGGCTATTAGAGGCACACAAAATTGACATGAACCTGGAGAACCAGATGTGAATGGACAAGCAACAAAGACACTGAGTTGAAGAAATGAGAATGCCAGTCCACTGCTGGGAGTCTGGCAGTGCGCTGCCCACCTCCTTCCACCCTTGAGACACTTACTTAAGATTCAAATTACAAGCAAAGCCTCCCACTGGGAGAGCTTACGTAACATGCTCTGGAATGAGCCTCCTACCAAGACTAGCTACAAGGCTGGGAGAGGGAGGTCCTCAAAACAAAGTCTGATTCCCTCTCACTCAGCACAAGCCTGGCATCTGCTTTTTTGTGACAATCAAAATAAGACCAAGGAGGTTTAGGATTCCTCCCAGGATGCTGAAAGTTGGAAAGAACACTGCATTCATGCTAACAAGAAAAAGTCAGATAAACTACAAATATTATAACTTTCTTGAAGTCATCGAGAGCTGAGGTCACAGGGCAACCAAGCAGAATAAAATTTAAGGAAAGAGAAGTCCCTCAAGAGACAAACTGGACATGAGCACTCGCTTACCTGAGAAAGGGCACAGGAAGAAGAGACACTGGGCACCATACATCCAGGTAAGAAGAATTCGGCTAAAACTTTCTATGAACTGCTAACAGCCAAGTGTAGGCTAGCATGAGAGCATAAAAGTCCTGGGAGCCTCAGACACAAGGGGAGTTCGTGCCCACCTGCAGGATCTTCTCAACAAACCTCCACTGAGTATGCTCCAGACAAAGACAGGGTTCAGAGAGGAGACTGGACAGAGCCTCACTCAGTGATGCAGGCCAGGGGGAGGGGAGCAGCCAACACTGCAAGAAAAAAAGCATAAAGCCCAGCCCTTCTCCTCTACGGAACAAAAGCCTCAGAGACCGGGAGTAGGTCAGTGAATCCTGTCTCCTACAGGGCACATGAGAGGACCCATTTGGGCTGGTGGAAAGGTAAAAGAAAAAAATCCTCCACCTTTGTGGGATGGGCAGGATCACTGAGAGAGCCCACCCCACAGGCCCAGGGCCACAGGGACTGAAGCTAGACCAGGTAACAGAGAATACCCTCTCAATCTTCCCTCCCCAAACTTACAAGCACCAAGTGGAAAGCAACAGGAATCTACCACTGGAGGAGGGCAAGAGCATGGACAGAGATTCCCCCTGAGGCACAGAAATACAGGAAGGCTGAAAGCTGAGGGTAGAACAGGAACACTGAGAAACACCCTCTGGAAACTCACCCCCCACCTAAGCACATGGTAACAACAGAGGCTGGTGGTGCACTGAAGGGAACCAAAACAATAACAAAAGCCAAAGTGAGCTTAACTCCTAACGAGATTGACTTGATCCCCATATTACCAGCCTAGCAGAAGAAGCATGCCCACTTCTAGGCATAAATACTATTTACCTCAGTCTTCACTGTCTTACTCATGATATCTAACATTCAATCAAAAATTATGAGATACACAAAAAATTAAAAGTAGAACTACCTTATGATCCAGCTATCCCACTACTGGGTATCTATCCAAAGAACTTGAAATCAACAACCCAAAGAAGCTTACGCACCCCTATGTTCACTGCAGCATTATTCACCATAGCCAAGAAGTGGAAGTGACCTAAGTGTCCCTTGACTGATGAGTGGATAAAGAAGATGTGGTATACATATATACAATGGGATACTATTCAGCCATAAAAAAGGAAAAAATCGGCCCATTTGCAACAACATGGATGGACCTGGAGGGTATTATGTTAAGTGAAATAAGCCAGACAGAGAAAGACAAACACTGGATGAGCTCTCTCATATGTGGAAGATAAACTAACACACGGACAGAGAGAACAGTTTGGTGGTTACCAGTGGGAAGAGGGTTGGGGGGTTGGCACAAGGGGTGAAGGGATGTATTTATACAGTGACTGACAATAATGTACAACTAAAAGTTCACAATGTTATAAAATGTTATGACATCAATAAAAAAAAAAAATTATGAGATACAGTGGCTGGCCCAGTGGTGCAGTGGTTAAGTTCGCATGCTCCCCTTTGGTGGCCCAGGGTTTGTGGGTTTGGATCCTGGGCACGAACCTACACACTGCTCATCAAGCCATGCTGTGGCAGGCATCCCACATACAAAATAGAGCAAGGCTGGCACAGATGTTAGCTCAGGGAGCATCTTCCTCACCAAAAATAAATAAATAAATAAAAAATATGAGATACACAAAAGAAGAAAAACACCACACTGTGAAGGGACAGAGCAATCAACAGAAACAGACTCAGGGATGACCCAGATGTTAGAACTATCAGACGGGGAATTTAAATAAAAAGTAACTATGACTACTATGTTAAAGGCTCTAGTGGAAAAAGTAGACAAAATGTATGAACAGATGAGGAATTCCAGCAGAGAGATGGAAACTGTAAAAGTCAAATGGAAACGTTAAAAATAAAAATACAGTAGCAAATAAGCAGAATGATCTCAAAAGGCTCATCATAAGATTTGACACGGTCAAGGAAAGAATTAGTGAACTGGAAGACAGTCAATAGATATTACCAATACAAATTACGCAAACTGATACATAACGAGAAAAGAGTGAAAGACACAAAATAGAGAATCCAAAAGCTGTGGGACACCATCAAACAGCCTCATCTAAGTGTAACTGGAATCCCAGAAGAAAAAGAGGGAGAGAACAAGGCAGCAGAAATATCTGAAGAGATAATGACAGAATTTTCCAACAATAATGGAAGGTATAAAAGCACAGATTCAAGCTACCCAAGCAGGATAAATACCAAAAACAAACACTTAGACACATCATATTCAAACAGCTAAAAACCAAAGAGGAAATACTGAAAACATTCAGAAAGAAAAGATACATTATATACAAAGGAATAAAGACATAGCTGACCTCTTGTCAGAAACTATGCAAACCAGAAAACGGTACATGGTAATGATCGAAGAATTTGAAGGAGGTGTAACACTGAAGGTAATCAAAGCAACAACAAACCCAAATCCAGCTCAACTCCTAACCAGACAGACTGGATCCTGCACACAAAGAACCTAGCAAAAGAAGTGTGTACATGTAAAGTACTGAAAAAAAAATTGTGAACCTGTAATTCTATATCCGCTGGAAATATCTTTTGAAAGTGATTAAAAAAAGCCAAGAGAATTCATAACAGCAGACCTGCACTACAAGATATACTAAAGGAAGTTCTTCAGGCAGAAGAGACTATGATACTGACAGAAATGGACTGACGTAAAGAAATGAAGATCTCCCGAAACGGTAAAAATGAAGGCAAATATAAACTACATCTTGTATTCTTTTCCTTATTTTAAATAACTCTAAAGATAACTGTTTACAGCAAAACGATAGAAATGTAGTGTAGGCTTACAGCATAAGCAAAAAATATGACAACAATAGCACAACAGATGGGAGGGAGGAATTGGAGGACACTGGTGTCAAGTTCTTGCATTATACAGGAAGCAGTACAATAACACTTGAAGGGAGACTGTGAGGAATTAAAGATGTATACTGTAAACCCTAGGGCAACCACTAAAAAAATTGTAAAGACAGGTACAAATAACAAGCCAACAGTGGAGGTAAAACGACATAAAAATACTAAATAAAAAACCCCCACAGAAATAGAGGTAAAAAGGAACAAAAAACAAACGAATAAGTAGGAGACAAATAAAAAGATGGTAGCTTTTAGTTCAACCACGTTGATAACTCATGATATGTAAATGGCCAAAACACATCAAAGGAAAGACAGAGACTATAAGATTGCATACAAAAGACAGAGATACGGTAAAAGTAAGAGAATGCTGTGGTAGGAAGACTTGTGAGTTGGCCCCCAGTATTTCCCTCTCTCCTGATATACAAGCCCTGCGTAATCCCCAGGACTGTGAATATCATGATTTTCCCTCCCATGATCAGGTTATGTTATATGACACAGTCAACCTTAGGACAGGGAAATTATCCAGGTGGCTCTGACCTAACCACATGAGCTCTTTAAAAGCAGTTTTCTCCAGCTGGTAGCAGATGGGGAAGTCAGGGAGATTTAAAGCATGAGAGGGAATCAATGGGAGGGCGGATCTCCATTGCTGAGCTGGAGGGGGCCAAGTGGCAAGGACCTGAGAGTGGCCTCCAGGAGCTGAAAGAGACCCACAGCTAGCAAGACAATGAGATCTCAGCCCTACAACTGCAAGAAAATGAATTCCCCTAACACCCTGAATGAGCCTCCAGACAGGAATGTAGAACAGCTGACACTGATTTCAGAACGGGAGATCTGGGCACAGCTTCTGACCTACAGAACTATGAACTAATAAACAGGTCTTGTTTAAAGTTGCTAAGTTGGGGGCCAGCCCAGTGGCATAGTGGTTAATGCGCATGCTCTGCTTTGGCGGCCCAGGGTTCGCAGGTTCAGATCCTGTGTGCGGACCTACACACCACTTCATCACGAGCTGCTGTGGCAGCATCCCACATACAAGATTAGAGGAAAACTGGCACAGCTGT